AAGTTATAAATAATGTAAATAATTAAATTGTTTAATTCTAAGAATTACGTGGCTTAATTTCTATTATCGCTGGCTATGGCATACCGAATTTGTGTTAATCAATCTACACGCTTAACGGGAGCAGATGTGACCAATAGGACAAAAAAAAAACAAGCTAAACAAGTAAAAAAGCGGTAAGTTCTGCCGGGCCGAACTTTGAATAGCCCTCACCATTTGGAACGAATTAGAAAATATTCAAAAAAAATAAAATCCATTGAAAATTCGTTAAGATCTTTAAAATACCTAATACCGGAAGGTGCCGATATATGGGGGGATATACGATATTGCGGACCTATATAGACAAATCTAGGTCTGGGGTAAAGTCCTCACAAAGAACTCCTTGTGTGGATTTTCAGATAATTCCATTGGGAAATGTGGCTAAAATCATCAAAATCCCGAATATCGGGGGTACCGTTACATGGGGGATATACGATATTGTGGACCTATATCGACAAATACCTTTCAGGGGTTAAAGTACTCACAAAGAACTCCTTGTGTGGATTTTCAGACAATACTATTGGAAAATATAGCGAAAATCACCAAAATACCGAATATCGGGTGTACCGTTATATGGGGGATATACGATATCGTGAACCTATATAGACAATTCTCTTTCAGGGAGTAAAGTACTCACAAAGAACTCCTTGTGTGGATTATCAGACAATTCCATTGAAAAATGTGGCTAAAATCATAAAAATACCGAATTTCGGGAAGTACCGTTATATGGGGGATATACCTATAGACCTGTACCTATGTGGACCTATATAGGCAATTCTCTTTAAGGGGGTGAAATACTCATAAGGGACTCCTTTCAGACAATTCAATTGAAAAATGTGGCTAAAATCATCAAAATACCGAATATCGGGGTGCCGTTGCATTCGATATCGTGGACCTATATAGACAACTCTCTTTCAGAGTGTAAAGTACTCAAAAAGAACTCCTTGTGTGGATTATCAAACAATTAGGTTGAAAAATGTGGCTGAAATAATCAAAATACCGAATATCGGGGGGTACCGTTATATATAATAACCATCCATACTATGTATGGTGCAGGGTATAATATACCATCCATACTATGTATGGTGCAGGGTATAAAAATATCAATCGGTTTTGCCGACAGATGTATAACCTCAGCCAATGTTTATATTTTATATCGGACCTAAATAAATGTTATATAAATATTGCGAACTGCAAGGTTTGGACTATATTGGTTACTTCACTTTATATGTGATTATTTTTACAGAATGTTAAAAAGTGCGTGAGGTGCAAGTTATAGTCGATCGAAATATTCCATTTTCATACTTCAACTACATACAGATAAACATATTGATATGAGCAAAATTAAAAGAAAATCTGCAAAATCATAAATTCCATATCAATCTCAGGTTTTTAATTGAGAGAAATATTTAAATATAGCAAATTTTAGAGTATCTCTGACTTGTTTCGCAAGTTATGACAGATAAAAGTATTGAAAATTGTGACCCTTTGTTGGCGAGGTACCTGAAGGGGTTCGCAGATACAGGGTTGCCCATATTCGACGGACCCATCAACGCCATAACTTTTGACAGAGATGTCACATCGCTTAATGACATACCGCGTTTGAAGCGTCAGTCCAAGCAGATTTTTACCATCAACCAATACACGCCACACGAGCGCTCTGAAATAATTGAAATTTACATTCAACAGAAGAAGTCAATTGTGAAACAAAAAGTGTGAGAAGTGGCCTTCTAAGAACACCATTAAGCGTTTATACGAAAAATTTTCGACTGGTAAGGCTCTTTCTAATCCGAAGAGGCCATATAAAAGTCGACCAAGGCGATCGGCCGCGAATATCGCTGCCGTACGAGCCAGTGTTGAGAGTTCCCCAAGAACATCCCAAAAACGCCGTCCTCATCAGTTGGGCATGGCTCGGTCCACTTTACAACGGATTATTCGCATTGATTTGCATTTATTCCCGTACAAAATTCAATTGACGCAAAGAAGGTTGCCTGCGGACAAGCCTCGTCGATTGGAATGGGCCCAAAAGGCCCAAAGGTCCGTCGAATATGGGCAACCCAGATATCATTTGTCACAACAGATCAGGTGTTAGCAAAAATGTTTGTGTTTGTGAAAGTTGAAGAGAGGTGGATGCTTATGTCGCTTTCTTTAAGCGTTTGGTTTTTTCAATGTCTTGAACCCTGTGTGGAGAGGTACAAGAAGAAATGGTCCAATCCCTCCCATATTTATAACAGATCTTGTGTTGATAGAAATATTGGGATGTGCCAAGTGAATGGAATCGGATGTTAATTTCGCATTTTATGAACCTCATGGGTATTCAAAATTTTTAACTCCTTGTTGGAGAGGTACCAGCGGGAATGGACCGATACATCCCATCTTCACAGCAGATCTTGTGATAGTACAAATAATGGGAACATAACCGGATGCTTATTTCGAATTTTATCACAGTTTTGGTTATGTTTTTGCAAAATGGTCAGGCTTAATCCCTTTATTGTTGTTTTTATAAAACAAACGTTTGTTTATTAGTTGTGTGGTTATTCAAAATTTTGTCCCTTTGTGAGCATGAAGTGAACCGATATATTCAATTTTCACACTAGATCTTAGGTTTATAAAAATATTGTAATGTGTGTGATTTGAAGACAATCGGACTCTTACATCACATTTTAAAAGAGTTATGATTATTCACAATGTTGAAATTTTGTGGGGGGAGGTACTTGCTGTAGTGGACCCACTTTGTCTATCTGACCTTGCATTGATGCAAATATTAGGATTTGTAAAATTATGGGAACTCGAGATATAGCATCAGAATCGAAGGTACCTTCCAAAAAATTAGATTTTATATGCACATATCTATTGATCGATTATAGATACAGTCTCCAAATTTGGAATGAGTAATGAGTAATTTGCCAAATTATATTGAAATCAGTTCACATTTAGATAAAGCTCCCATATATATTCTCGGAATGTGTGATGAAATTTGATTAGGAAATAAATTTTCAAATTATATTGAAATCGGTTCAGATTTGGATATAGTTCCCAGATATATTTTCGATCGATTTCACATATTAGATGCTCTAAACACGATACATTTGTTCGATTTCAATGAAATTCGACATGAGCGACAAAATTTGATGCAAGAATAAATGGTTTAGATTTGTATATAGCTCCCATATATATTTTCGACCGATTTCACATATTTGATGCTCTAAACACGATAGATATGTTCGATTCCAATGAAATTCGACCGAGAGACAAAATTTGGTACCAAAAAAAAAGGTCACATTATATTGAAATCGGTTGAGGTTTGGGAATAGCTTCCATATATATTCTCGTCCGATTTCACATATTTGATGCACCAAACACGGTATGTACCTCTAATTTCAATGAAATATGGGTGGTGTTACGAAATTTGGTGTAAAAGTAAATTTTGTCAAATTATTTTGAAATCGGTTCAGATTAGGATATGATTTTATTAAGAATCATTGACCCACAACGCCTATGCAATGGTATTAGGCTAACAGTAAAAAACTACACAAAAATTTAATTGAGGACACGATTATTACGGGGAATTATGTTGTTACCTCGAATTCTCCAATTTCACTCAACTTTAAAAGATTGCAGTTTCCTGCACGCTTGCCATTTCCTATGAAATTAATAAATCTGAAGGCCAAACCCTTTTCTTTATGCGGACTAAATTTGGCATATTCCTGCTTTTTTCATGGTCAGCTGTTCTTGGCATGTTTACGCGTTGGTAGACCGAGTATTAATTTAAATCTGTTTTTAAATTTAATTCATTATAGGGTAAGTGAACCAGTAGTCGGCACTTTTAGGATTTTCGCGTTTTTAATCGCTCACCATTCTGAGTGGAACTTTTCAATTATTACAAAGTTAATTTATTCAGATTCGGAATTTTGTATAGTTTTTGCAATAATAAATAAAGTTTTCATAACTTTTTATTGAATTTCATAAATTTGTAGTTTTATTAAAACAATGCTTTTTTGCCAATTGGCATGTTCCAACAGTCGGCATGCCAATTTTTTTTTTGTAAGAATAATTAATAATAATAATAAATTAATTCATTAAAATATAATATTTTTGTTTAGTTAAACTGATTCGACGTCTTTATTGTACTTTTCTTAAGAATATGGATTGTTGAGGACCTTCACAGACAAAAATTTAATTTTTATTAGAATAAATCATCTTTTTTTTAGCGAAAGCTGGCAATATATTTGAAGTAAACAAAATACATTTAGTTATAATAGTTTCATTTATTTGGGCTTAAAAATAAAAAGTGCCGACTACTGGTACATGCCGAACTTAGGCACACTTACCCTACGCTTTCAGAAAATATAATTACAAAATAAAAAAACAAACTTTAATACATTTCCTTGGCCAACCTTATTTAAGATTTCAATATTAATTAAACTTGAATTGATAAATATTTTTTTTCTATTTTTTTTTTTTGCTTTCAGATAAAAAATAACAAGTTAAATATTAATAATAAGAAAACAACATCCAAATATCAAACACATACAAGAAAATAATAACAAAGCAACAGAAACAAACTTAATATCCGAAAAGATAAGCAACCATCATTTCTAATGAAGCACTTCCATCAAAGGTGCTAAGGCAAAACAAAGAGAAAAAAAACGAAACGAAAGAAAATACAACAAAATACATTTAAGAAGTATAGAATTACTAGTAAATATTAAATTAATACTAACAAGCAACGGAACTGAAAGTTGGCAGAAGCTGAAACATCAAGAAAACATCAACGTCAAAATGGAAAAACTTTACAGAAACTTATAATAAAGTGTAGGCTGTTGAACGTGGAGAATACGAAAGTTTTCCTCATAGCAAGGCAGCAGCAGGACAACAAAGGATTTGTCGTAAAGAGCACAAGGGCGAAAGGGAAATAACAACAAAATAAATGGAATAAAATAACAATAATAAACTGTTTTGCTTTTTGGGGGTCGCCAACACCAGGGGAAAGCTTCCTCACATAAATACAAACAAACTAACAAACGTCAGAGTAAATGTAACCTGAAAAGCAAGCGGTTGAGTTTCGCTGTGAAACGTTGAGGAAAAAAAAAACTTGGCTTACACATGTGATTTAACAACATTGCAGCGATACGGTGATTTTTTCCCTTCATGGACATAAATACGCTTTGTCTGCTCGCAAAGCCAAGGAGCCAGTAAGTTGTTTTCCAAATACAAAAATAATAAGAAAAGTTATCAAGTTTTTTGCTGATCCGCCATAAAGCCCCCCGAAAATATTTCCAGGCTCCCAATCATACAACAGCAGAAGAAGAAACAGAGGCCATATTCGCAAACGAAGGTTTACCTTTCTGCCTTTTCAAACTAAAAACGAATGTAAAACAAAAGCCCAAAAGCCATACATGTGTGGCAATAAGTCGCAATTTATATATACCTGGCTATGTGTGTGCTCGTGTGTGTGTGTGAATATGTGAGTTTTGTTTAAGCCATAAAGTGAGAATATCGTTAAGGGCTTAATCCTACTGCCAAATATACACGGCTGAGAGAAAAAAGTAATCACAAAGTGTTTCGTTTACTTGACGACACAATATACAAATAAGGAATTTATTTAATAACGTTTATTTATCAAAATACAAAAAAAAAAAAAAAAAAGAAGAAGAAAATAGTACCCTACTACCACTAACTAAGTTTTGCAAATTGTACAGTAAAAGGTAGACCCTAAATGCCAAGAATTGCAGTGGAAACATCAAACAATGTAAAGTTAAAATTCCACGGAAAAACCAAGCAACTTTCTGAGCCAACTTTTACAGTGGGTATTTTCCATTTGCGAAAACAAATAAATCCATGAAACAGAACAAAAAGAAACGAAACACAATCCTTCGCAGACATAAAGTATAGCAGCAAGAAATAAAGTTCGAAGAATTGCTCACGGTGGCATTGAAAGTGTTGTTATTGCCTAATACAAAACTCTATATACATATGTGGATATTATAATACCTTACATAAATTTTGTTGTATGTGTGAAATTTAAAAGAAGAAGAACAAGACAAAAAAAAACAAATTATAATAAAAAAATCTTAACACGCAAACCCAAGGTGATAAAACCCCACGTGAACCATTAAAATTGAAACGATTTTTAAAAAAAAGGAATTTAAATTTTTTTTCAAAAAAAAAACTGAAATCAAAGCATATTCAAAACCCCGTTAGGAAAAATATAAAATTTTTATAAAATACAACTAACTAAGACAACGACAATAGCCCACCTAACGACGCAGAGGAGAGCAGAACGAATACAGTTCCATCAAACATGTCTGTTCTCAATCACTACAGCTGTAGAAATGCAGGCGTTTTACAAGTTATACTTCTAGTTTGGTCATTACTCATCGAATGTACCAATGCAAGAATAGGTAAGTCAATTTTGAAAACTTTTATAATTTGAATTAAATACTTCCTTATATAAAACTATGAACTTTTTTGGATAGGAGATATGTTATGGTTTCTAGATATACGGTGCTAAATACACATGCCTTGGTTTTCTAAATATTCAGGTTTTCTGAACTGGGTTATTTGTTGTCTATTTCAGAAAGTACCCAGCCAGCGTTTTTTATACCCCACACCACACTGTTGTACAGGGTATTGCGTCTCTGTGCATTTCTTTGTAATATGTAAAAAAAAAACGAGATAGGCCCATAGATCTTGTCGATCATCTTCGTAGAATCATATTCTAAATGGATTTATGCATTACCGTAGGTCTGTCTATCTGTCAATGTAATTTTGAGCAATAAAATACAAGTCTCATTTATATCTCGATTGTGATATAATCTTGTGCACGACGAACACTATTGAAATTGTAAGGTAAAAAATATTACAAAATGTATACTTTAATATTACAAGTCAAATTGAAAAAACCGCATGCGATAACAAATAAAAAAAAAAAAACAAAACAAAAATATGTCACAAAATACTACAAAAATATATTAACATTGTATTTGGCATCTTTTTATGCGATTTTTTTAGATTTTATTCTTCTATGCCAAGAGGGCATTCTGAATTGACAAAATTTGTCAAAATCGGTCCAGCCATTCTTGAGATATAAACATTCTAGCTAACATCGCCTTCCTTCGCTTCGCATATATATCCGATGTATCTACTATCGACCTCTACAAAACGGTCAGAATTGACCTGTTCGTCTATTTGTGATTTTGCTAGGATTACAAATATTCGCGGTTTAATGGGAAATTTGACTTTTATTTAAATGTTATGGTCTCTTTCACCCACCAAATATTACTCGATGACCATCAAAATTGGAAGGCTTCTGCTCAGCCCTAAGCTCTAGCCACATGCTAACTTCCGCGTCGATTGGTCTATCAACAGCAGAAATGGTTCGAAAGGTGAAGAAGTGACTTGATCGATGTCACAGTGGCCGAAAAATGGCTAGTGAGCTGAACATATCGCAATATTCCATTCGGCAAATATTGAAAAATGAGCTCGGGGTAAAGCCATTGAAATTCCAAAAAGTTTAAGAACTTACACCACGACAGAAAGAAAATAGACTCAAAAGAGCTAAAGAGTTGCTTCGCTCGGCCAAAAGTGGTGAACTTCCGAATTTGGATTTCTCCGATGAGAAAACATTCGTTGTATTCTGAAGGGTGTATTAAAGCATTGGGCACGCAAACATTTTTGCCGCAGACCTTGGACATTCCAACAGGAACCATCGCACCATCGCACTCAGCACGCGCCACCCCAGAATGGGCACAAAATGAGGGTCCTCGCTTCATTTCCAGCCACAATGGCCACCTAAATCTCTGGATACTAATCCGTTGGACTATTGTGTCTGAAGTATTTTGGAAAGCAAGGTTGGCCCTAAAGAATACCAAAGTGTCGATCACCTCAAACAAGCGCTTCGCCGGGAATGGGCTAAAATACTGCAGAGCAACATTCGGGCAGCGTGTGACGGTTTCATTGGCCGTTTGAAGGCCATAATTTGTGTCAAAGGTGACCAATTGGAACAAATCTAAACTTATTCTAAAATTTGATGCTTTTTCCGACATTTTTTGCTTTCATTCAATAAAATTAACAAAAAAAAATTATTGCGTTTGACTTTGTTGCAATTTGCACTACACATATTTGCACAATATGCACTCCAGGACAATGATCTTTGGTACCTGATAACTTTTGGAGCTCAAAAATACATCTGTCAAATTTTATCGACATCGGATCAGATTTGGATATAGCTCCCATATATATCCTTAAGCCGATTTCTTGTTTATTGTGCAAATAATGGCTAATATCAGCCCAAGTGGAGTGAAATTCGGGTCGTGCGTTTCCATTTTGTGGAACTAGGCTCGATTTCTATTTTTTTAATATAATCCTTTTCGGAGTGATATCATGTACTATATAGCAATGTTATTTGGTATAAAAGATTAAAATGTCTCTAATGTCTCGGTCAATTTTAGTGAAAATAGATTCAGAATTGGATATGCTTCAACTACAGTAGTTCCGTCTGAAGCCAAATTATAACTGCTCCAAAGCCAAATGTTGGTAGGTGGTATGATCTACTTCAAACCGATTCTTGTTTGTTTTTGGCATCATTAATCTGCCCCGCTGACTGTTTTTTTTTTTTTTTTTTTTTTTTTTTTTTTTTTTTGTTGGAAAATGTTTGTTTCTTATATATGAGAATTGTTCGAATGGGTGAACATAATATTGACTTCAAATTGGAATTTATTCCATTATTCATATCCGTTTTAATCGATAATTGAAAAACGAGCAGTTTTAATTTATTTCAGTAATAGATACTGGGTTCTCTATATCTTGAAATTTACTTCATTCTTGACAAACGAGTTTCAAATCTACTCATATCATATGGGTATCATATGGTGAGCCCGGCCGACTTAAGCCTTAGCTTACTTTTTTTCAATACATAAATTAGATATACCCCTTTCGAATAATCCTCTTAGATCTGGAACAATATTTTCCATCACCGATATTGGCTCCAAGGGAAAAATCAAATTTTTGTACCCTCCACCATAGTATGGAGAGTATATTAGGTTTGTCATTCCGCTTGACCTCACGAGGTATTTAAATATTTTTTTTTCATCAGCTTAAATTCTATGTCGATTTAGCGAAGGCCGTCCGTCTATGCATATTAATGTAGCTTCCGAACAAAGTAAAACAGTTTAATAAAATTTTACTCAGGTGTGTGTTAGGTCTATAGATTAAGGTCTGTAGGTGTTTTAGTCACATTTTTTACACGAATTCGTCCCATTATGTCAGAAACATATTTGCATAGAACTGTCAATATAGTTCTAAGTTTTTGTATAGTCTACATATGACTGCACCTCCCTATATTTCAGCGACATTATTTACCGGAATTGTTTCAATTTTCGTATTTGAAGTTCGTAATGGGTGGTACCATCTGTGACGAAAAAATGCCTATGTAGCCTTATACAACGGTACCTCCTTATATTCGATATTTTGATTGTTTTAGCGACATTATTATCTGGAATTGTTTAAAGTTTTGTATTTTATTATTCGAAAGGCCTATGTCAAAAATTGCATATGCAGGTCCATGTCTTCGTATAGGCGACAATATAATGGTAATTTCCTACATTCGGAATTTTTTGTTTGAATTTAGAAGTATTTTTCAACGGTTTTTCTTTTTTAATTTTATAAATTTCTGCGAAAAGATGGAGAGTATTCAAAGTTAGACCTCGACGAACCTGCTGTTTTTTTGCATTTGATTTTTTGAGTGGAGAAATATTTGCATAATGAATATTTAAATTGTATATACGTTTTGTAGCTTATTTCATCCATAAAATGATGTCAAATTGTTTATCTTACTCTTAACAGTAGCCTCGAGATCCTGTGAATTTTTTTTGGAATTCACCCTATAATTACAAAGAATCGGTGACGCCAAAATTGGGGTTTCGGATATGAAAATCAAATTCGGAAGCAACATATGTCCATGTTTTCTTCTAATCAATTGTGACTTAATACCCAGGGGGATTATACAAATAAGATTATACAAATACATGGGCCAATTTATAAATGGCTACTTTTCTAAAATTTATTTTTAACCAGTTATCGTATGTAAACAGGGAACGCCTTTAGGGGTCCCCACAAAATATGTATTATTCTGATTTTTTGTTCTTGAAAAATATTGCCGTCGCAGCTAACAGAAAATCAAACCAGAAGTCTTTTATCTACAGACGGCATTTTATGAGGATTTTTAAGAATATAACACTTTGATAGGTCTTCTTTAACACATTTTAAGATTTAGATTTCTAAGCTATTACTGTTTATTTAAGGAAAAGACAAGCCAGACAGGATATATTCAATTATTTATTCAAACGGGTTTGTCGATTATATTAACTACTTGACCTCTTCTCCAATTTCCTCAAATTCTGACTTTTTCTCTGTATAATTGTCCTGTAACTTCGTATATTCCAATTAGCTATTGAGACTATGACTTTCTGCCTGAACACTAATAGTTTGAAATATTGATCCTTTCGTAATTACCTTAATTTGTATTGAAATTAACATGAGTTTTTCTTTTTTTGTGGTGATTGAGTTTCATTACCACTTTAATCCGATTTAATTATAATATCTTGCCTTTTTCAATTAGAAACGTTTGTCTATGCGGTGCGCTGCGTATATGTGTGTGTGTGTCTGTTTTTTGTGGCACATAATCTGACCCGAAATTACCATTCTACCAATTAACATGTGACCACAGAAATTCACTGGACAGGATGTACAGCACAACGATACGATATACAACAAGAACAACAACGTTGCTGTATTATAGCATTATAAATTATGACACATGTGCTAATTTCATGTGACATCCATTAGAGAGATTCTGCAAACGACAAATGTTGCCCCATATAAATAATCAAACTTGGCATCAGATAAGTGCCGCAAAAGCTGTGCCACAGCACAACACACACTCACATACATGCACAAGAACAAAAATGAAGTCCTTCTTGTCATTTTCATATCCTTAAAACTTAGTTCGGACCACGATAAGTAAACAAGAATGAAGCCAAAAATTGTGGAGAAGAAGGAAAACATAAAAAAGAACTCTAGTGGAACTCCAAGAAAGATACACACAAAAGGGCAAACTAGTTAATTTTGGATTTAAGAAAAAAGTTGGGTTTTTTTTTTGCACATGGCCAAAATCTTCGCTTGTGACCCAGTCTTCATGATTTTGTTAGGACAGCAGATTTTTGGCAGCACACAAAGTTTGTGGATGGACGGATGGATGATCAGCTAGGTACGTCTTAGCGGCGCATATGCCTTCATAAGTTTAATGCAACTTATTTTGTTGTTGGGAAGGAAAGTAAGAATGTTTTTCCAATTATTAAGGCTTTATTTAATTTTGTGTAATTCGTTCAGCGAAACATATGCTTTTTAGAAGTATATTTTACTTGAAAGTGCCTGCTACTTTGTCAGTGACAAGTCCGCCTTAAAATTTGAAATTCGTTTCAACAGTTCGTGTTGGGCCTTCTTAGTGCCAAAAAAGTGCAATTTGTTCAGTATGACAATTTTTTTTATCATAACTTCATATTTCGTACTAAATTTTCCGACTTTCTAGGTTTTATACATTTTTCAAGTTTTTCCCTTTTAAAAAGAAACAAGAAAATAAGCAATAAGTTCGGCCGGGCCGATCTTTGATTACACTCCACCATTTGGAACGGTTTTGGCAATTTTCAAAAATAAAATCCGTTAAAAATTCTTTCTTCAAATACCAAATTTTAAAGAATTCATCAAAGTACTGAATATCGGGAGATACCATTGTATCGGGGCTATATCAAAACGTGGACCTACATTACCCATTTGCAATGCCAAAAGTCCTGCAGACATAATACACATTTGAGCAAAATTTTACCAACCTACTTCATTTCGTTCGGAATGTGGAGTGATTTCCACAGACGGACGGACACCGCTGAATCGACGTAGAATTTTATGCTGATCAAGAATATATTTTGTGGGGTTTAAGTTTACCGGCGAGAATATTAGTAAAATCGTTGCACAATGGACCCACATTTAATTTTTCTGTCCAAAACTGTCCAACGTCTCCATATGAAAACCCTGTGAAACCAACAGTAGAAATTTTAGGATTTCAGCACTATAATTTCCCCCATTACCAAATTTAGTACCATTTAGTGCAATTGTAGTATACGATACCCTTTGATGCATATATCCTGCACTCCATCATTTTCAATTTCTGAATTGTAGCACATTCCATTTGTCCAATACAAAGTATTAAATTTTTAATACATTTTAGTACTTTTCGTGTCCTTTTAGTAGGAATTTCCAAAACTCCAGTCTTATCACCCGCCTCTGCAGCAAGGCTACTCCTCGTGCAAATTTTCAATATTCCAGCTTGAGCCGTTTCGATGCCACCAGCCCATAAACTGTCCAATATGAGCTGATATTGCATATATCGTGGACAATAACCATAAAATCGGATGAAGATGCATATCGAAGGTAATTAAAAATCTGAACCGATCTCGATGGTAGAACTATTTTCGAAGATAATTAACACTGAACCGATCTCGATAAAATTTGGCAGAATTATTATCGAACTATATATATGTTACGCATGTGAGGGAATTTAGCATCAAATTAGACGAATCGGATGGGAGCTATAGCTGTATCTGAAGCGATTTTCACCAAATTTGAATTACAAACTTCTAGGCTGAATTCTGTCGGAAGTGCCAAAATGCAGATAATTTGAACTGGCCATTTGGTGCACAATTAACTCGAATTCGGACGAAGATATATGTGGGAGCTATATCTAAATTAGAACCAATACTCACCAATTTCAGTAGAGTTCATCTGTGGGCTAAACAAAAAAATCATCCATTTTCAAAAAAAAAAAAAAAAAAAAAAAAAAAAAAAAAAAAAAAAAAAAAAAAAAAACATGGACAGACGGACTGGCATGTATAAATCTACTCAGAAAGTGATTCTATGAAGATCCTCACAGGTATGGGTCTATCTCGTTTCCTTCTGCAAGTTACTAACAAATGCACAAAGTCATCATAACCATACCACTATGTGGTGTAGGGTATAAAATAACAATTTTGTGGGTAAATGTGACTAGTATTATCAAAATTGTGAACATCGGGAAGTACCTTGTATGGGGGAGGAACCACATTTTGTAACCATACTTGGGTGGCGCGTGCTGAGTCCTGTTGGAATGTCCAAGGTCTGCGGCCAAAATGTTTGCGTGCCCAAGGCTTTAATACACCCTCCAGAATATTTTCGCTATAATATTCGGCATTTATTCTGATGCCACGGTTGATTAATACGAGCGGAGAGCGACCATCGGTAAACACGATCATTTTGTTTGTGTACAAACTGCTGGACAACGAATGTTTTCTCATCGGAGACACCCAAATTCGGCAGTTCACGACCTTCAGCCAAGCGAAGCAACTCTTTAGCTCTTTTGAGTGTATTTTCTTTCTTTTGCAGTGTAAGTTCATGCACTTTTTGGAATTTCAATGGCTTTGCCCCGAGCAAATTTTTTAATATTTGCCGTATGGGATATTGCGATATGTTCAGCTCACGAGCCATTTTTCGGCCACTGCGATGCGGGTTTCGATCAAGTCGCTTCTTTACTTATCGAACCATTTCTGCTGATGTTGCTTTTTTCTTCCGTTCACTTCCTTGGCGTCGGGCTACGCTACCAGTACCACGGTAAAGAGTGATGGTACGAGACACAAAAGATTTATTCAAATTTAAATGCTGGAGTTCTTTAACGATAGCCATTTGTGGTTAGGTTGAAAAGAGCGGTGAAGCAATTCGCCAGATGCCCTGTTGGACATACATTTAAGCCAGTATAGGCCTGTTATCCGCTCTAGACTAAGGGTTTTTGAAGAAGGCGGGCAGTTTACAGTCTGTTATATTTGAAATGCAGTTGCCTTTATGAAATTTCTTAACTGTATTATATCATTTATCATGGTCTGATTAAGGTCTGGTATGGAGTCGTTCCCTAAGAAACTGGATCTGATATTTGCAACCGCTGGGCATTGGCAGAGAAAATGTTCCAATGTTTCGTCATCTTCCCCACATGCCCAGCATATACTGTTTTCTGCACATCCTATCTTGTACAGATGAGCTTGTAGGCTCAGGTGCCCCGAAAGGAAGCCTGTTACCTGACTGATCTCTTTTTACCTAGTAATATAAGGTTCTTCGTTTTTATCTCATCGGGTTCGCCCCAAAAGATTTTTGTGGTTTTCCCTACACCCTCATTGTTCCATAGGGATATGTAGGCGTTTTTTGCCCACAATATCAGTCATAAAAATAAAATCACATAATATCCAAAATGAATTAAATCTTATAGAATTATTTAATTTTTTACAACATACTTGTAGAATGTATACCATTTTTTTTTTGGGATTCAATATTAATTAGAAAAAATTGGCAAAGGACCATGACCTCTCACTTAGTTTCGTTTATTATAATTTCATGATTGATTTAACTTCACAGCTGACTACTACTGCAATATTGACTCAATTCGCTGTACGTACAACCTTTCAATCTGCAACATTCATCGACAATGCCCTGTCGGCGTCTACGAATTTTCGCCAGAAAATTTTCTTCTTGACTCCGAAATACATCGCTTAAAGTTGCCATGGGATTTAGAACTTCCATGATATCCGGTGAAACTAATAATGCATCCAGAAGATGGAATAAAAAACAAACACCCGCAACACATATACATTTGTACAGAGCAAATAGGAAATAGTAACTCTTACCGTTTGATTTCTTCAGTCTTGTATTGAATCCCGTCTGGCCACATACATCCAATAGGGCCATATCCAATTTTGCACCACATAAGCGGGTATTGCCAAATGCATTTTTAGCGTAAGCCAATATTAGTATAACAATTACTCCCAAAATTTTCATAGTCATTTATGATTATGATCGATATTGTAAGAATACTGATATTGTGATAAGGTTTCAATGTTTTATTTATAAGAAAATTTCCAGATATCTACCACGGTGTCTGCCATCATAACATATTTTATGTGGGCGCAGATGCGACATTGAATAAGGGGTTCGTTGCACAGTTTAACTTAAAATTAAGCAAACCTAATTGGGATGCGTTGCAATGTAGAATTTAATAGAGATTTACAATTATGAATAATGGCTACCCCAAAGAATGCATAAAATTCGTCTACAATATTCTGGCAAAATAAATAATATTTTAAATCAGAATATCGGGTTGTCAATGACTGAAACCCACGTGAACCAAATTGCATTGTTGTTGTTATTTGTATTTACCTGCCCCTGTGATAATCAGACTCCATTTATCTACAACCTCTTATTGTAGCTCCTCATTTATCAGTTCAACATCTGACCGTACCCCTTACGTACGATGTAAATAAACATGCATTTCTTGGAAATAATTCTTGTTTGTTTCAATCCATGACACCATAACAACATTAGCAATTTTCTTCGGGCATTGACAGGTAAACAAATAAAAACAAACAGAGACACCCATGCTCTTTGCTAAAATTAACTACGTATGTATATTCGTTCCTTTAAGGGTTTCGGGGGTTAACGTGTGAAATATTACAGCTGGGATGTTTCAGATACTTGATACTAATGAGAATGGGAGCTATGATAAGGAGTTTCTTCTGAAATTATGACATCAAATACCACACAAAGCCAAGGGAGTAATCAATCTGGTTGCAACTTCGCACATCGTAGGTCAGGTGGATAAACTCTTACCTAATCCACAAAGTGCCAGTATTTAGAATAATTCACTCATTTTCTTCTAAAATCGCACATAATATTTAAGATTTCTACTAAGAACATATGTTGTGTAATGATCGATATCATAATTTTAGCAATATCTGTAATGCGACTCTTCTTAAAATTCTTTCCTGACAATGCACCCTAAATGCCAAAGGGCCATAATGAGTCTCCAATTTGGTCCATATTTTAATTTTTTTGGTCATTGAAATGCTTTGCGAATAAGTATTCTACGCTCAAAAAAAAATCAAGTTAAAGGCAATTTGATTTGTAAAATATAATCAAGACCGCTGTAAGGGCTGTATCAAATGAAGAATTTTATGTAAATAGCATTTCTATATTATAAGAAGTCAAAATGACATAATGAAAGGGGAACATTCCTGATAGGTAAACAAGTAAAAAAGCAATAAGTTCGGCCGGGCCGAACTTTAAATGACCGCTAGGAACGAATTTGGAAATTTAAAAAAAAAATTAAAATAAAAAATAAATAAAATCTTGTAAAATTCTAAAAGTTCCGAATTTAGGAAGTTGTAGGGTCATTACGAAGACGTGTACTAGCAGTGGCAATTTTTTTCATAGGCCATTACAATATTCAAATACGAAACTTGAAAAACGTTCCGGTAATAATGCAGCGAAAATCGTCAAAATACCGACTAATCGTGTAGGGATATACCGATATAAGACCTGGACCTGCATATACATTTTTCTGTCATAGACTGTAGTACCCATTACAAACTTTAAAAACCAAAACAAGAAAAAATTCCGGTGAATAATGTAGCCAGGATCATTAAAATACCGAATATAGGAAAGTACCCTTATTAGGAGTCTATATGAAGACCTGGACCTGTATAGGCAATTTTCTGGCACATGCTGTACTACCCGTTACGTACTTCAAATGCCAAATTTGAAACAATACCGGTGAATATTGTCGATGAAATCATCAAAATACCGAATATAGGGATGTACCGATATATGGGGGCTATAGATACCCCAGGATCTGCAAATACAAGTTTCTGATAGACTGTAGTACCTAGTGGGAACTTCAAATACGAAATTTGAAATAATTTGCGTGAATAATGTCGCTGAAATCATCAAAATACCGAATATAGGAAGGTACCGATATATGGGACTATATAAACAATTTTCTGTCACAGAAAATTTAGCGCAATTTAAAAGAATTCCGTTGAATCCTGTTGGGTCTAAAATTTATATTTCGAGGTGTTAGAAACGGAATGACAAACTTCATATACCCCCATACAATGGTGGAGGGTAAAAAAATTTGGGATGTGTGAAATTTGAAGATATTCTGATTCTAATTTCGTATTTTATAAGAGTAATAATTATCCAAAATGTTGACCCTTTGTATGGGAGGTACATGATAGAGTGGTTCGATATTGCCCATTATCGCACTGATTCAACTAATAGGATTTGAAAATTGAACAAAATTGAATAGCCCGTTCATGCTCTATACGGATAGTTATTTTCGGTGAAAATGTTGACCTCTTGTGTGGAGATACCAGAAGGAGTGTACATATATTTCCCATCTCCGAACTCAATCTAAGTTTGATAATAATATTGCGATGTTTGTGTAGGTGCACATTTTCGTATAACCGCCATATAACGTTACCTAGCGACATCAGTTTTGTGATGATTTTAGTCACATTATCCACGAATTCGTCTAAAAATTGATGTTTGAAGTTCTTAATGGGTTTTCGCTTCAGTAGCAGAACATTGAATATCTAGCTCCATGGTTTCCGATATTTTGATAATCCTTGTCACATTTACCCACGGATTTTTTTTAGATTTATCATTTAAGTTTTTTAAATTTGTACTCCTTTTTGTATGGCCTCCCACTTAACGGACTCACTCACTTTTTTTGAAATTTTTTAACTGCTTTATCCAAACGGTCTTACTGGTATTTATAGTTTTAAGTGGAACACTCCACCAAATGGTGGAGGATATTAAAAGTTCGGCACGCCGAACATAATGTTTTTTTTTACTTGTTTTCATTTGTCTTTATTTTGTTTTCATTTGACTTAGCAAAACCGGGTATTTATATTTGAATACTTCAATCTGCCATAAGCCGTTAGCAGATAATATCTGCAAAAACCCTAATGCCCTTACTTACATAACTTCTGGAATCTTACCTTCAATTGTCTTGTCATGGTGATTCTTTAAAGCAAAATGTGTCACTAACACAATTCCATTCAATGCTTTTATTTGGCGAAAAAGAAAAATATTCTATTGAATGTTTCGAAATGCAAAATTATCCAAGACAAATAAACATTTTTATGCGCAATACATTAGTATATCGGCATAGACACAGCCATTGGTGCAGCATTCATCGGCAACACCACGGCTACGTCCGACAGCGCTTTGCCTACGATTGCGTATTATCACTTTGTGAGTAGTTTGGGTATGGGAACTTATTTCAATGAAGACCTTATCATCTGTTTCATCGGTCGATTTCGGTTCGAGTTTACTTAAAATTTCCTTAATACGATAATACCAGCTGTCGTCAGGCGGTGACGTTTTGGTTGGTCCATATTCCATTTCCACTAAAAGAAAATAACAGATTTTTAATGAAAATAGTAGTAATCGATCATTGTGATTTGAGAAATCATTAATAATTATAGAGAGTAATATAGAGTACGACTTTGACATTGAAATATGTATTTAATAAATATGTTCAGGATAAGATTTAGGGCCCATAGTCGAATTTTATGACAAATAATTTTGTAGAATATTTCGACTTGTCCCCATCATGTTTAAAGGGAGTTTTTAACCATATTTGAAATAACGAACAAAAATAACCCTTTGGTATTGTATAGCTTAACCAAATCTAGCGCTTTTATCTGCAATATTGCCGTAGACACTATATATCTAAAACCAACGGATTCCAAGGAATCCAAATTCAAAAATTTAAATCCAACTTCGAAAATGGAGCTTGCCCCATTCGATTTAAGTTACTTTGCGATGTGAACTTCTAAACCGACTGTATCCATGTGTTATGTCGGACTTCCCCGATTTCTGGAAATGCTAATGAGATTCAAGGCGATTTTCGTTAGAAAAATATTAAATCAATATTCGATTGTAAAAACGAAGGAAGCCAAAAATGTACGTCAACATGTTTCAGGATTTAGACGTCAATGCTTCGGAATTATGTTTTTTCTCATAAATATGCTATAACTTCTCAACTGTTTGAGATATTTTCATATATTTTCTGTGATTGTTGTAGAATTTAGGGCCAATATCCAATATAATAATTTCTTTTAAATTTTGCTATTTAATGAGGTCAATTTTAAAAGTGTTTTTTTTTTTTGAGTACCAGGTTTTCCAGCCAGATGCGTTATTTTGAATTATCCAGCTCAAGAACAACTCAGAATATTGCTGTTTAGCCGAAATTGTTGAGGAAACCCCAGATTTGTCCATTTATCGTCGTTGTTTTGGGCATTGGTTCAAGTTAAGTTAAGACAAGAACTCAAGCCGGCCGATCATCAACAAAACGAAGGTTTCCATAATTGCGTTTTTGAAAGGCATGATATTGATCTGAAATTCTATCGCAAAATAATGAGGCTCATTTGAATTTCTATAGTATCGTTGAAATTCTATATCTTTGCATCAGGGGTTCGGAAAATCCTAGAGTTATTGTTGAGAAGCTTTCCCATCCTTTCTTTCTCCGGGATCAAGAGTTACCTTAACTGGATTGTGTTATCGAGAGATAATTGTAGTATTTTATGGCCGGATTAGATGGTGTTGATCTGGATACGTTAATATTCTGCTTCCTGCCACACAAGCAACAAAACCATTGCACTTTTACCAAATGTCATTGTTGTCGAATGCATATAACGAATTTGAGGGACTTAAACACCAAATCAGATGAAACATATATACGAGCTATAGCTATATCTGAACCGATTTTCTCCGAATTCGAAGTTTTTGCTTCTAGACTGAATTTGGTTGAATGAACCAAAATTCAGGACTTTTGGACTAATATTGGCCATTTGGTGCACAATTAACCCGGTTGGACCTATATCCAAATCTGAACCGATCTTGATACAATTTGTCAGAAGTATATCTGGGCTGTATCAGATAACTGGTATCAAATATCATTGATGTCGAATGTATATTACGAATGTGAGGGACTTAAACACAAAATCAGATGAATCATATATGTGGGAACTATAGCTATAGCTGAACCGATTTTCACCAAATTTAATTTAATTTGGTGCACAATTAATCCGAAAGCGGTTGGGCATATATATGGGAGATTTATCCAAAGCTGAACCGATCCTGACGAAATTTTATACACCTATTTCAGAGCTGTATTTGATATCTAGTAAAAAAGACAATTATTGTTTGGAATGCATATTACGCATGTGTAAATTATATTTAAAGTGCTGGTATCTATTATGAATTCAGTCGTAAATGCTAAAATTCAGCACATTTGGGCTGATATTAGCAATTTAGTACACATTAAACCTGATATCGGAAAAGATATCCTAATCTGAACCGATTTAGATAAAATTTGACAGAGGTATTTTCTAGCAGTATCTGATGTCCGGTACCAAATATCATTCTTCTGGGATGCATATTACTCATGTGAGGTACATAAATCCCCAAATCGGATGAAACATGTATATGGGAGCTATAGCTATATCTAAACCGATTTTCTCCAAATTTGATTATCTTG